ATATCTTCGATACAACGATGCTCAAAAAAATGTTTTATTTTTTTTTTTACAAGATAGAATTCTTTCTCCTCTTTCGAATCCTATACAACTTGTTTTTTCTGACACGTTAATAAATAAAAGGACGCAAGAGACAAGAGAAGCACTTTTTGTCCTGTAAAAATATCAATCCTTATATCTCTTTGATAAATAGATTCTTGAAAAATAATTTTTTTTTGTCTCATCAGCTGATAGAAAATATTCTCCTAAAGCGAATACTCTATGATTCATATTTATCTTACGCTTGTAGATGAAACGAGACAAAAGAAAAAAAACACTGAGATAATTTATTTTCAGTTTTTATATGAACTCGTCAAAAATATCTTCTAGATGACAAATAATTATCAACTGTCGTTTTACAAGACTTTTTTGACATGTTCATCGAAAAATTATTTATTTATTGTGTCCATGTTTTTCTTTGTTTTCTTGTCTCATTTCATTGACCAATGTCCCACAAATATAAATGGTACACTGTTTCATAGAAAATAATATTCTTTTCAGATCCTACTTATCAAAAAGACATAAAAATCGATATTTTTATAGAAAAAAACGCTTCCCTTCTCTATATATTATTTCATATATGAATCTGTCAAAAAAAAAAGTTTAATACGGTTTGCAAGAGGAGAAAAAGCTTTATCTTCTGGCTAAAAAATAAGTTTCATTGAAGGCAAATAAAAGCAAAGATTTGTTCAATTACTTTTGCAATATATGTTATATCCGTTGAATGTAGAAAGAAAAAAACTTGTCGAATAGTACAAGGACATTGATGGTATATAGATAACGCTCGTTCGAATTGCATGAATAGACTATTGAATTAAAATCGATTGTTTTCTTTAATGATAATCTTTTCAAAGAAAAGATAAAATAAGTTTTATATTAAATGAATCATTTGTATCTGTAACTAGAATCCATTTGACCGTTTAATTTACAAATTTGACTCAAACCGTTTCGATTCACAACTCATATCTCAACATAGTCAATATCAGAGGTGTAATCAGAATCGATAAATAGTTGGTTTTATAAAAAATTTCTTACTAGGCGCTCTAAGTTTTGTTCTCAAAAACAAAAAAACCTCATTAAAAATGAACTTTTATTGAACAATTAAAATTCCTCTAACTAATACTCAAGTCATTTTCTTTCACAAAAACATGTGTTGAACTATCTTACAAAATAAAGGACAAGATTGAATAAACCATGAAAAAAGGACCACTAATCATTTATAGAGTGTACATTAGTATTTCTATACAACAACGTGAGATAATTTTCAATTTTATTAATAATATTGATATTGAAATATTTGTAAAAGAGATTTGGAATTTATATTCTCAATCATATAAATCATAAATTCTGTTGTTTATAATTTTCTATTTGTTTAGTTAATAATCAAATTGTTGAAAAATAAGACAAAATAATCATGTGTAACGACAATTCCTCCCTGAATATATAATTGAAAGTTAATGTAATAAGATACATTTAGAATGGAAATGATTATAATAATAAATATTGTTAATCCTTCTTTTTATAAAATTTTGAAAAATATTGAAATATTTTTTCTTATTCTATCATAATCATATTTTAATAAAAATCTATTTCATAAAAACATGTAAATTATAGATTTAAAAAATATTTATTAAATTGTCAATCAATCATTAGACTGATCACTTTATTTCAAATTGATAAAATAATTAGTCAATGATCCTTGATTCATTCTTTTCACGTCTGAAATTGATCTTACTATCATCGTCTGTTTCGTTTTTCTTTTCTTCTTTTGTTTCATTATCATATAAAAGTCAGTTGAAAATATTGAAATAGTAGAAAAAAAAATTGCCTAGAATATGAATAGAATAGATATGAATAAATTTCAACAAAAAATAGTTTTAAATGAATCATTAGAAGAAAAAAGTAAGATATTTGAAAGTAAGTAATTTATCTAATAAAAATAAGTATTATTGATATTTTAATTTTAATAGATCAATCAATAACTTGCATTGAAGATTTCACAAATGAAATTTTTTATGAAATTTTTGATTATATCAATGGTTATGAAATAGTTGAAAACTTTTTCAATCTTAATTCTCAATTTGATAAATTTCTTTATTCTTCATTACTTTTAATTAAAACACATTTTTTTTATTCCATTATCAAGAAAAAATATTAAGCACATTTAATAAATTAGAAATATATTCAACTAAAATATATTCAAATTTGAAAATTTTATCTGTTAGTTTTTCAAAAAATATTGATTTGCTTGATGCTCATCAATAGGAAATAATTATTTTAAATTATTATTCTCAATTAGAAAAATTCTATTTGAATTATTATGAATCTATAAATAATGACAATCAATATATAATTTATTCTGGAAAAATAAATGATTTTTCATCATCATTTTGGATTGAACGAAAATGGATATTTTATGTTGAAATTAACTTTCTCAATATTGAATATAAAATTCGTCCATACAAGTATATTAATGAATATAAATCTATAAATAAAATTAATTATTTTATTTTATTTTTTTTTAGTAAAAAATGGTATGAAGATAGAAATGAAAATATAATTAATTATTCTACTAATTTGACATTAAAATTTATTTATGATTCTATATTTGAAGAAATTGAACGAACTTTAACAATAACAAGGATTTATCATTTAGAAATTTTTGAAAAAGAAATCTCAATTTCTATATTGATTCGAATTCTTAATCTATTATCACAAATAATTACATTAAAAGTTCATTCAATATTAACAGACGGAACAACAGAAATTACTTTTGAAGAACTTGATATTGTCTGGTCAATGAAAGAGATAAGTAAAATTACCAAGGTCTATCTTAAACAGATTGATAATATTGAACAACTTGATTTTATTTTCGAACTTTGTCCTTATATGGAATATTTTAAAGTTGGATTTATAAATTTGTTGGATATTCAATTGTTTTTTCATACTATTTTCAATAATATTAAATATAATAATCATCATCCTAATTCGTTATGTCTTAATATTCCAACAGCAGATGATAAAATACTTGAAGATATTAAAGAAACAATTAAATATGAAAATCTATCTCCTTTTATAATTAAACGTGTATTAGATAATGTTTATTTAAAATGGAAATGAATCAAAGACAATATCTTTTTTTTTTTACAATTTAATAAAATAAAATGTTTTGGATTAATCAAAATTTTCTATTTTTTCGTAAATAATCGAGTTATTTTTTTTACTTGTAGCAAAAAAAAAACAAACCAAGACATGCATAGAATCGAATAATAATGAAAATGTTTTATTCTACATTAGATATTCTATATCAGACTGAATCCTTTTAAAAAATAGATTGAAAGCGATCAGGGTGTGGGTATTATATTCATCCACTCACCCACACTCTCGGAACCGAACGATTTTAGTTCGGTTCATTTTCAGTCTCTGTTTTAAACATAAGTGGGAGTACGTGTCCTAATGACACGATTTTGTGCAAGTAGCTGAATTAGGAGAGAGAAAGACGGTAGAAGAATACTATTGGCATTCTAGGAATTTCCTACAAATTATTCGAGAGAGTTCCGCTTGTTAGAAGAAAACTTGTACGTTTTGGTTCTCTGTTGAACCAACACTCTAACGCATCGTTCATGAGAGGATTCATTTTAGTTGTCCTATAGCAAGTTCTATAGAAGGACACACATTTCAAGTTTGTTTTGAGCATATACAGTAGGTGTGGGTGAGAATGGGCTATTGGAGAAGTACAATCGATACCCACACCCAAAAATATTAATTTATTAGATAAACATCATATATATGTTTTTCATGCTGAAAAATGAATCTTCTCTTCAAACTAAATAATTATAACATTCGAATAAAATTGAAAGCCATTTTAATTAATCATCGTATAAGACAGAAGAATTATGATCATTATAGAAGCAACTAATATAATAATTACGACTATGATACTACTTTGCTCAATATATATAGAAAAATTAGAAACGTTTCTTTTCCAATATTTTGTCAAATTGACGCCATGAAATCTCGAATAGCATCAACCGCTTCTGCACATGATTGTGGAAAAATTCCTAAATTTCATTATTAAAATATAAATAATTCTATAAAACAATTTCTTTATTGTTCTACCTGGTAAAGTAAAAAATACATGAATGACATCTTTCATTAGTACTAATTTCGTTTGAACACCAGCTTTTTCAAGCAATTTTTGATATTCTAAAAGATGAAAATTAGATTTCTTATAAAATCTATTAATTTATTCTCTTTCATACCTAAGTTTCCATCTCGAAGAATATCAAGATCAGCAACTATGAATAGACACGGTGGTAAATCTTTAAATGTTCTATTGAGTAGCACAGATACTCGAGGATCTTTCACCTCATCCAAATTATGAAATGCATGTGTTGTAAACCTATTTAATAATTTAAAAACAAATTTGATATTTTTTATTATGCATAATTTCGAATAATTTCTCTACCATTTCATGAATTCAGGTGTAAGAAAATACATTGGCTTCGTAAATTCCTTATAAGATGGCATTTCACCAAGAATATCTAATGCAGCATAAATAAGAATCTATTTAGAAAAATGAATATAATCGAATTTAAAAATCATTGAAGAAATCTATACTTGAAAATCGATGCCTTTTAATAAATGAGAGAGTGAAGCACTAATCATGCCTCCAGCACTGTCTCCAGCAACCCCAATTTTGGCTGTTTTATTAACACCTAAAACGATAATTAATAGATGTTTAAAGATTTCATGAGTGAAAATAAACCGTAAGCTGTTCTATTTTGAATAATATGTTGGGTAACTTCCAATGCATCATCAAGCCAAATTGGATATTTATATTCAGGCCCGAGACGATATTCTACAGAAATCCAAATTGTTTTTGTCACACTATGTAGGAATATAAATAAAATGAATCAAGATAAGTCTATATGTACTCAGCTGTGTAATTGACAATTGTTTGATGAGATTTTCGACTACCAATAACCCAACCTATGACGTTTTGATAAATAATACATTAGAGAAATTTATTTTATTTATCTTTATGATTTTACCTCCACCATGAAAATAAATAACTAATTTGTCTTTATTAACATTTAGTGGTGTATAGATGGTAATAGGTATTTCTGAAATGTGTATTGTTGTATTATGAAATAATTATTCTTATAAATAGAAATCTACCTGTAGAATTAGTTTTCACAATTTTTTCTTCTATTGTACCTTTGAATGTTTCATGAAGTTTTTTATTGATTTTTTGATGTATGCCATCCATATATAGACGCATTTTTTCAACTTCATTATCCTGCGGTGGAGGATTCTGTGAAAGGAATTGTAAAAATGCTAATGTCTCATTGTTGAATCGTGGATCCCTTGTAAAAATAAAAATCAAAAGGTTCAATGAAAATCGATATAAATTATTGAAAAATAAAAAAGAAATATTACATTACTAGTTTGAAGAGTATAACAATATGTAATGATGATAAAAGAAAAAAAGCAACAAATTTTGGTTGTGGTTAAATATTTTTATCTCTCACGAGGTAAACTATTTGTTGAAGAATGAAAAAGAAAAACAAATCTAAACAAAAATATTCCATTGATTATTAATACGATATATAGCATTATTAGGGGACCGAGAACACTAGCGACTCGCTTATATACAGCATAGTAAAAGGCGACCTCACATAGGTATACTCATTTGAGTATATGAATTATATGTTATTTTTCATACTTTTTTGTGTCATTCGTTATTGTTATATAACATCAATTATTATATTCATATGAATCCAACTGAAATTTATCATTTCTGTTAGGACTTGCTACCTACTGCTTTGATCACAAAGAAAATTGTTTCTCTTAATTTCTTTGTTAACAATTTTGCTTTATACATTTCTTTGTTCTACTTAGTATTTTATTTCTGTCTGGTTTTTGTTTATATTGTATAAGTATTTCTACCACTGGATCAACATTATTATGCAAATCTTGGTTGATATCAGCCTCTCTATATAATTGTTTTTTTTTTCTGTATGATCATGATCGATTCATGGTCAATGGTGATATTGATTCTATATTCAGACTCTTACATAGATGAAATGGTTTGTAGATACATATTTCGACTTCTGCATTGGTTATAGCCAGCATCTCTTTCTTTAGTAATTTCTTTTTTAGAAAGTTTTCGTTTCTCCGTTGAAATCTACTGTATTTTATAAAAACACAAATAAACATGTGTACCATTAAAATTTAAATCATCGGTTGGCTTGCGGTGTGTGGGTGTGAATCTGGATGTGAGTATAACTGTGAGTGTTCCTAATGAGAATACGAACACCCACACCCACCCTAGGCGGTTGTTGAAGGTGAAGATTCTATTTTTCGAATTCAAGAGTATAGTTTTTGTATAATTCATGATCAAGAGATCGTTACAACTGTCTAAGTAAGGAATTTTTCCAATTTTTTCTTGTTCAATAGTTCCTACAACCCGCGAACTACGTAGTTTTCTAGTTCATTCTTACACGAGTGGACATATCCTGTTTTTTTTTCGATGATTTATTGAAAAATATTTCGTAATCCATCAATTCTTAGCAACATAGTCAGTGATAGCCTGTTGCTTTGATTATGTTACTAGCCAAAATAGATATCACTTATTTCTGACTCGGTCTTGCTAGTAAGTACATGTAGTTATGATTGTTCTGAAGACAAGAATGAATTCATCTTTGTAGAACATATTGAACGCTTTGAATATTTAAAGAAACATCTTTTTAATCGATTCTTTATCATTAGTTTCATCGATGTTGAACAGCTAGCAAATAGTCACCCCGTTAGAACGAGACAAGTTCAAAACGATGTCAAAAAAGTTCAGTGCTCAACAGTCATTTCAATTCTGGTTGCATCCATAGAAATAAGAGTACTTGGTGAAATTTCAAGACGAGCATTAATTATGAATTAAATTAATCTGTCATCTATATTGAATGATTTATAAAGCATAAGACATAATGACAGGACTTTTCAGCACATTTGCGTACACTGATATCAATAGGACTGATAAAGAAATACACGTAATATGGAGATGTACTCCTCTCATTTCAAAGAAAAAAACAATTACAAGAAATCACCAGGCACCCTCCGAAAGTTGTATTGCATAAGGAAAAAACACCTTTTGTTGGATAATAAACGTTGACAATAATAAAGAATAAGTACAACAGACCAATGTACTACATTCAGATCATAAAAGACATGTTATGGTCAGAAGAATGATTCCAATTCGAGCTACGAAAATAAAAATGAACGGAAAATAGGTTATCAATAGTAAAAGTGTAAAAGTTATGATATATATTCGTCTGTTTATTGTGTTTTTATCAATGAGAAAAATCCATTACTGTTTTAGTATAGATGTGACTGATGGCATAAACTCGTGTAGATGACGAAAGAACAGTGATTTTCATTTTAAATAACAAATATTTATTGATTTTTCCTGCAATTTTTTCATAAGAGTATCGAGTTACTTCAGCTACATTGAATTTAAGGAAGGTATTCTTATATCGAGATATTGTAGTACATAGTAACAACTTTCATATGAGCACGTTGTCCACAAAGAAGATATTCAATGTATCGATAGCTAAATTTCATGTTCTCATCAGTTAGACTCCTTGTTTAAATCGATACATTTAACAATATCATTCATTGAAAGTCTTGAGATTAAAGTGAGATCAAAACAAATACTATTGATCGACTTGATTATCTGGACAATATTGGTTTGTTCGTCGAAGCTGATGAAAACGATCGTACACCCGTCTATTTTGGTCTTACGAATGATTGGTTGAAATAAAGTACACGTTGTCACAATACAAACTATTTCACAACGCGACATTCAATAGAATTCTTTCCATGTATGAATTTGGCGATCGATTGAATGAAATATGCACTAGACTTTCTTCTTGTATTCAATAGAACTTCTAGTGACGAAATCACAATATTGCAATGAGATTCAATAGATGTTTTTTTTATTACAACAGAGCTCAGAAGGATAAACTCAATCGACATCTTACATTCATTTGTCCGCTAGTTTAATTGCCTTTAACAACATATATTTACTAGTAAATGCCAGTTCTTTTTGTTCATTATGATATAATTTCAATAGAACATCTTGATATTTTTGTACACTAAAATCTTCGACCATCCACGGTACAGCATGCAAATAACTGATCAATGCACCAATATCTTTAAACACTAACTTTGTTTCTGACTCTTGTGCTCTAATCAATTTCATGGATGGTGCTTGATTTTTCAGTGTTAGAGAAGCATAAGCAAGAGTAAAAAATGGCCATTGTGGCTGATGGTCAAATAGTTCAATTAAATCTTGTCCAGATGTTCCATCGACTTGTTGCGTTATAAAGATTCCAGTTTTGAATTTAAGGAGACGATCAACTTCGCGAATATTGTAACATGTGTGACGAGAGATTATCAAGTCAAATTTCGGTCCATCGTCTGTAAATGGTAGCAAACTATTCAGACTATCCGATTCACTTTGAATAACAGTCACACCGTAAGGTGTTAAACGTTGCTTAGCTAATTGAAAATTCGGTTCATATGATTCTGTTGCGTATACTATCAACTTTTTCTCGTTGCTCGGAAGTCTTGCTAGTATTCCTTCTAAATATTCACCACCACCTGTTCCTAAATCAAGCAAATAAATTTCATTGCTCTTATTTTCATCGTCTGAATCTGCAAGTTGTGCAACTGTTTGACAAATAATCTTTGTATAATCCCAACCTAATTGTTCTTCGGACATGTTAAATGATATTCGTCCACTGGAGGTTAGTTGCGAAAAATCCCAACCTCGAAATTGTTGCTGCCATGTTGATTCTTCATGAAGCCAACTGGCGACGAGAGCTTGATCATCACCCATACTAAAATTATGTTAAGAATATAATTTTTGCTAAATTACTCATAACAATCATCATTTTACTTGTTAGATCAGCAACGTAATACTAATCAAAACAAAGAACAATTGTACTTTGTTCTCTCTAATGTTGTATTTTATATAAATACAACAATTGACACTTCGCAATACCAGTTTCTTGCGCAAGAGCAGTAGAGATAAGACTATCAGTATTTCGTAAGAGAGAAGTCAAGATTACACATACAATGAAAATTTTGACATAGTATTTATCATTTCATGTCCTAAAAATGATGGTTTTGCGCTATGGTCTGTTCATCTCACCATCATATAATGGATCATTTAAATTATATCACTTTGTTATTAAGTGAGAGAAAACAGATCGTAGGAGTACTTTATCGTTTCTTAACTTGTCATAAACATGTTTCGCTTATTGTTAGTTTTTTGCCAGAATAACGATAAGTAAAATAAGTATATGATATAGAGCGCTATGCATATATTCGAAAAAGCTCGTCGTAAGTCAGTCGATTATTTGTATTTGAAGCCATATAAATCATCTAGTAAAACGCCTTCTTTGGAATTGTTCGTGTCTCATGTTTGGTCACAGATGGCTGTTACAGGTTATAACATGAATACTTGTGTTTTGTTTTTGTCGCAGAGAACTCAGACAAACATATGAAGGATAACAAAAAAATGTGTAACAACAATCTCTTTCCTTTTAGAGTCTCTATCTAGCACGAAGACTTGCGACTACTTCCGTGATAAATATAAACAATGATGCAATTCGACTTGAGGCTTTATCTGTCGAATGAGTAGTATAGTGTTGACTGGTCTCAACATATTTTTTTAAAATCACATTTAGAAATCTTCTTCTAAGATGTGAGACTTGTCAATTCATAGATGAAAGACAGTTAAACTTGCTTTTTATAATAAAAAACTTTTTGTTTGTTGGTTTTTATCTTTTGTTGCCTTTTCAGCCACTGGTGAGCTCACTCTCTCTTGTGTAAATTTGTTCCTAACCTTGGCTTTTTGTTTAAAACCACTAGTAAATGTTTTCTTTTTCTTATAATCGTAATATTTAGGCGTACTTTTACTACGTTTGCCTCTTCTTTTCTATGAGACAATTATAGTTCGTTTGGTTTATTTCTAGACAAATTCAATATAAGAATGATCTTGGGTTATATTCTTTTCATTTTACTTTTACTTTGCTTATTTTCCTATAAACATGATAGTCTGAATGAGGTTAATTTTATTTCGAAAATCCTACGAAAATATTTCAAATCATTTTACTCACTCTTCTAAAGAAACGGTTTCAAAAAGATAATTCCAATCAAGTTTTGAATTTTAGAATGCAAGCTTGTGAGATTCTTGTTTCTGACGTGTCAATGACTCTTGGCCCACATCAAGGGTTAGGCTAAATGACAATAGGCGTATTTCATTCAAAACCTAACACGATAAGGGTACATCTGATTTTGATGCTATCTGGAACTTAAGGGTTTCAGACCATGTTCTTTCTTTTGTCTAACGAAAACTTTTCTCTAAAATGCTTGGAAGTATGTTTTTTAGAAAACCATGGTTTTTGGATCTACTAGTCGGAAAAAAAGCTGTTTTCTGGAAAACTGAGAAATGCTGCAGCATTTATAATCACATGGTTATATTCAGCAAAGAACGGGCTACATTTTGAAAAAAAATTGAGTCTTCGACTTTGAATTGAAATTTTTAAACTTTTTTGGATGTTTTAAAATTTGAAACTTTTTAAAAATCTAAGTAACTCAACACACAAAACTAATGGAGACTTCGCATAAACAACATTGGATAGAGAATGAAAAACTGAACAAAGCTGGGTATTTGACAAGATTCTGATATATACGTGATCTTGGTTTTTTGTAAGGTTTTCTGGAAGTTCTTGTTGAAAAAAACAAAAAAAACTTTTTTTCATTCTAAAATGGTTAATTTTTTTTTGGTGGAAGAAGACGGATAGCAGCATGTCTGACTGAGGGTGTGGGCTATTTTTCAACGATTCTGATGTCTTTTTGGAGTCGACATTTCGACAATCATCATTATATTACGTCATATAAAGAAGTGAATATTTAACATACATTGCAACATGAAGTATATGTGAAAGAAATTTTCATTATTTTTTTCCTAGTAATCCTCTCAAAATAGTTTCATTCTTATAGTCGAAACAAAGAATCATGTATGTCAATCTTTATATTTTCGAAAGTATCATGATGAATTGATAAAGTACATATTGATTAATATTCAATGGGAAGTCCACGACTTTTTCGATATGTAATGCAATTTTGTCTAACAGTGTTACGTAGATAAATAACAATTGAAGATGCAACCCAACCTTCGACAGCTGATGTCTGTCCTTTAACACAGTCTTTAATATAGTCACCAATTTTATTCCAATCATGCTCTGTACCACAACCGTTCATATTTAATGAATTTTGTAAATCTGTATTGATATGATAATTTGCCATTATCGATTCACATAATCGACGTGCCATGTAATCTGCCAAGATCATACCAGTGATTGCCTGTGGTGGAATGTAATACATCTGGGTTGTAGAATCAGCAAAATTATAGGTAGATGTGGAACATGATTGAAGTTTCTTTGGCCAATCACCTGTTTGTTTTAAGAATGGATCAACAAATGCTGCCACAACCTTATCCAGCCAAATCGAACTATTTAATGAATTTTTCTCAAGACATGATTGTTTAGCGATACATTTTTGGTTGATAATGAATCCATTTTGATGTGCACCCGTTGGTGTCGGTAAGTTTTCGAGATCTGTTACTCTTGTATAGCATTGATCGTCTATTGGCATATAGTACAAAATTAAAGTATCACTAGCTGAACATGAATTAACTGTTCCATCCACTCGTAACACATTTTTTCCAACTTTTAAAGTGACTTGTGCAGATCCAGAACCAAAAAATTGCATTAATCGTGTGAATGTGCCTGATTGCGTAAAGAATATTACACCATTGATTGTCGCCACAGCGTTGCCGACATCATTTGGTGATGATTGACCACTTCCAGTGCCAGTAATCGTGACTTGCGACTGTCGTAAAATTGAATTTGGTGCAGGTGAAGTAAATTTGATTGAGCATGCTTTGATACTAACAACGACCATACCCATAAGCAAGAATATTGATGACAGGGAAGAAAGCGTCAGCATCATGAAGTCTATTCGATCCGAACGATATAAGTCTACGCTTGATATTAGAACGATTCAAATTTATATAGGTGAAAAAGGGGAAGTAAAAATAATCATGAGTAATCGACATACCTAAGTACACAATGACAAATATTATAGCATAATGATTATTCCAATGAATCAGTCGAAATTACTCATACCTGTGTTCTCTTTCCTAGAATAGTAGGGCATATATAGTAGCTACTGTGTGTGAGTACAAGGATGAGGCTAATATGAAAACAAAAATAATTAACAATGGGATGAAATAGAAAAAAAGAAAAACAACTACATTCTAAAAAATTTAGATTTATTACCGAACTTTAAAAGTATCGTATTTTTGATCCGAATGATTTGAGTAATTACCTATTTTTTACTCAACAGCAACATGTAACTCCTGACTCTAGACATTACAGAAGTTAAAAATTAGAAAGCCACTCTCACCCCGACTATCTCCCAAGTTTTTGATTGCGAGAGTGTGGGTAGGTGTGAATGTCGGTTTGAGTGTAGGTATTTGCGTGTGGAGTGTGGGTATAAGGTTAGCCTATCCTCTTTAACCAGACCCACACCCTCACACCCGCATACTAGAATTGTATATTTCGAATAGGAATGGGATTATAGTGAAGAATTAAAAATACCTGCAGAATTCTGTTACAAGTAACAGAAGATAAACTTCGAATATGTATAGTAGTAGTGTATATCTCCAACAGGAAAGAAAAATTCTAATGAAGATTTTAAACAAGCGAGAATAGAATTCTAAAATCTAATGACACTAACACATATATACGTTATATTTGATAACATGAAATTCTACACAATGCTAAGCAGAATTTAAACAGATCACCAGGACAGAATACGTTGTCTTCGACAACATAGAATTCTAGTGTGTAATAATCAACTTGTTTTAAAAAAATACATAAGTCCACAGAATTCTGAATTCTGCTTAGTAGGCATTCTGCAACTGCTGACTTTACTAGGTTATGTATATATATATATATATATGTTTCTTAATATGCTTGAAGGAATTGATCATGTGCCATCCATGTAACAGTCTCCATTTGAATAATTATCGAAATTATTTTTCAAAAACCAATTCTAATACTTTTGCCGTTTTGTTTATTATTTAGCAAGAACGTGACTTGAAAGCAAGTGAATTCGATGAAGTATAACTTGATAGACATATGAATGAAGTCAATAAAAACAATAATATCAAGCTTATACAGGACGTGTTATATCATATATGGCAGAAAAATGGCTGTAATACTTATTCAATGAAAAGAGTATGTCTTAAAAGTTTATATAGTTTTCAATTCTTTAACATTTAATTCAGATTGTTGCAGAGTAAATTAAACGTTTCGATCATTTAAATCATGAAATAAAGAAACGATTGGGTTTTCAATGGAATATTCCCAATAAATGAAAAACATAACCTTTCCTTTTATTTTGTATTCTTTATTTCTTTTTCATTAGTTTTATGCATATAGCATATACAACAAAAAACAATCAATTATTCTAATTGATTGATGAAATCATATAATTATTATCAAATCATTATATGAATCATGGTCTAGATCTAATAGCTTATTAATAGGTAATGGCGCAGATTCTTCTGCAATCTTGAAAACAGGGCAATATTCAAGAATTTCAGCTATAAGAACATCAGCAAATGTATAGGCAAACCCAAATCGAACGGGAGAAGATATTAAAAATAGTAAATAAGAATTTTCTTGTTCAACAATTAATTCTTCCTTAAAATGATAAGGATAAAAATCGAGTACATCACAACTCCCATACATTTTTATCACAATAAATATATTGTACACTAATACATACATGTTGATCCGTTTTTAAATTTATTCGATAGATATTTTTATTTGGCGGATATAATCGTAAAATTTTTATAAAAATCCATTGAAGTGAATGACAATTTCTATAAGATTTTGAATAATAATTTAATTGTGAATGTAGTCTGCTATATAGTTTTGGCTAACGAAGTAAGCCAAGAAATGAATCTAACGTTACTTATTTGACTGGTTTTGATAAATAAAATTTTGATTGTAATAATGGTAGTCGAAATTCGATACAATTGCCTATTGTTGAGACAAGTTTTTCATACTTGTTCTTTTCATTCCAATTTGCTAATGTTTTTATAATTTTACTTTTAAATGCTTTCAGTAGCGATTCATCATTAATAGTAAATGAATTTACCATAGACAAAGTATCTATAATCCATTCATTAAGCTTATGTCGATTATAATCACTTGATTTTAGTATATTTATGTGCCTCATCACAAGTCAATATGATATTCGATTGTTTATATTTATTCCCAACAAAATCTGTTGATGATAATAACCATTAATAATGTTATCGCCATTTAATACTCACAATCGGAAGAAAAGAATAAAGAGTATTTAAACAAATTGGTTGTGTTAAATAGTATAAAGAAACGCAATGAATAATTTACTGTAAATACTGGATCGTATGTGTCTCAATATTAACCCTTTACCCCCTTCTCGACACTAATCTAGCAGTGTTGCCGTTGATTCGACTACGAGAATAACTTATGTAGGTACTCAATATGACAATAGTATAATTAAATTTGAGTGGTGTCATTGTATTGTGAAGATGTAGGATGGGTCAAAAATGATCCATTCGTCATGAATGGCATAAAAATTGATTTTTTTAATGATTTGTTGCAACTATATGTTTATTTATTTGTATAAAGCTAGAAACTTCTCTATTATGGATTATTTTTTGAAAAATGAGTCATTTTGGACACCACATATGATTAATTTGTATAATATGGCATCGGCGGTCTCGATTCTGATTCGAAGTCGTCCATCCTTATGTTATGGTCTGGTTCAAAAGGAAAATCATAACAACAACTGCGTCTTGATCTTTTACCAACAGAAAGTTTTTCAAATTGACTACGAATTGCTTTTTGAATTACTATTAGTTTTAATAAAATTTTTTAGCATCAAGGTATTGTTAATTATGAATTTATCTCTAAAAAAAAAAAGGTACTTTTTATGGCATTCACGATGAATGGATCATTCAAGTCTTGTGTGCAACAATATACATATACATTTAAATCTAATTATTAATAAACAACCTATAGTTCAGAATTAGAATAACATTACAATAATTGTTGTTATATATAATTATATTGTAAATGTTGATACTGAAAATATTATTATTATTATTATTACATAGGTTTAGTTTCGTCAGCCTGACAATATAAATTAACCTTTTAGAAATCGATTAATTGTTTTTTTTTTGTTTATCAGATAATTAAATATTGATTTTATATAAATTTTCATGTGTAAATTCAATTGATATTCATAAGAAAATGAATATTTTCTTATTTTGAAAAAAAAAACAAATGTATAAAATATGAAATATAGATGTTTGAATTTTATTGCATAAATAAATATTTTTTACTTTGAATAAATAAACATAAAAGTTAATTTAGAGAATATAAATTCGAAGCAAAGCAATGAAATAAAAGAAATGAAGTGCATAGTTTATTAGAAAACTGTAAGTTACATCGAACGCATAAATGATCCAAATTCAGATTTATCAATTTTTCCATCACGATTAATATCAGCATAATCAAACATAGCACCAGCCGGATCATATTGATTACTTTTTCTAGCAACATTTGGTGCACCAATACCAACATCAGGACCAACACCATATGTATGAGCTCCTGATTGATGAAAACCTCCTGTATATCTTTCATAATCTCCTGGATTTTGTGTAAAACCAGCAACAGCTACATCAAGACCAACTGGATATGTTATTACTTGAGTTGCATTAGATATTTGAAACTATATTATTTAAAAATTATTTCTAAGAAATTATTTAAATAAGAGAATAAAACTTACATTTTGAATATCTTGATGATTAATATTTCCCGATAATCTTTGTTCATCTCTAACTGGTCCAAGAAATTGTCGAAATTCTCTTTCATCGATTGTTCCATCACGATTTAAATCAGCACTATTAAATTGACTTTCGATTCTATATTGTTGGGCCATTTTGTTTTTGTGTATAAACGCTTGATATTCAATTGACTAGTTACTGAAGAAAACTTTCACTATATAAATGGTTTACTTATGACGTCTGCATTTTCAATCAACCGAAACAAATGTCGTCACTCATGCGTATTTTATGTTTTTTTCCCATATGATCATTAAGTTATTTTTAATAAAAACTTGACAATATGCCTGATATTCATCTAGATAATATTTTTCTGCTTTTCTCTAATTCAAATAATTTGTTCTTTCTTTTTTTTTTTGTACTCATTAATCATCATTCATATTTATATTTATTATCTCAAATTACCATGAATTGTATAATACATGATTATTCAATTATCAAAAAAAAAAAAAAATAAGAAAATTTCTAAAAAAAGTAAGATCATAACAATATGATATTATTTTACTGACGTATTTGAGAAATAATATAAGAAAAAAGATTGTTAACATAACTTCTTTGCAAGTCAAATGTTGAACTCATATGTCTTAATTAGATTGATTATATTAATAGAAAATCATCAATATTTAAAATCTGTAAAAGATGATTATTATTTTTGAATGATGATCAATTATAAGAAAAAGATTTTTCTTTTTTATTTCGATATTTTGAACACAAATATTCTTTTCTTTTCCTTTTTTTTAAAGGGGAATGTTCTACTTTTTCGTTCGTATTGCTCATATTCGATCATTATTTTTTTATTTCATATTTCATATTATATGATTTTTATGTTTATAATAGAAGAACTGTATGACATCAATGCATGAGTAAATTCATAATGGTTAATGTCTTAAATAGAAATATAAGATTCTTGAATTTTCTAAATCTTGTTATTAATGTTGTTGAGAGAATTTAATTTCGTTTTGTTAAATTCCATAATAGAGACGAAAGAGGAAAGAGCCGCAAATTTTTGATTGATTATTTTTATTTGCATTGAAATTTCATTTTCATAAAATCTTATCGAATTATTGCATGTAAATATTAATTTAATTAAAATAAATATAATAAATAAAAATGATTATTTATAATAGTTAAATGAAAGAATAATATCGATAAAAAAAAAATAATTTCATTGAAAATTTATTTTTTTAATCTAATCAATTTAATTTATATTTATGTAGAAAATTTTCTTTGTAAAATAATTATATTCATTAATTTATCGAATTAAAACATTTATCAATAATTGTTTTACTTAATTCTCTTGATTTAATTCATTTATTTAAACAATATTCTAATAAAATAATATATTTTAAACTTATTGAAAAAAAAATGTTATCTATCTTCTTATGATTTAATATCATAAAAATAAATTTTATTTATTGATTTTATCTATTTTGTTTTTATCGAAGCAATTTATCAATGTAACTCTTTCTTGCCCACGGTCTCTAAGTTCAAGGTCTACAACTGAAATTCGTCCAGTATGTAATCATAATAGTTTCTAAAGTGCACATGAAAAGTAAAAATTACATCGATTAAATGCTAAATATAGTTAACTTGTTAACAGTGTGAATGAAGAGAATATTTTCACCCACACGCACACCCCAACACGTAATCGCATGAGAAATAGAAGAGAGCTACTCCAGAGAAACATACCACACTATAGCGAACATATTTTTTTTGCTCTCTTTAATAGAATGATTCATTTACCTTGAATGTTTTTTCCTTTCTGTTTTCGTTTCTACCACACAGTAGAGGTAGTAAATACGTCATACCTATATGTCATCTCTCATTTATCTTTAGTTATTTTCGTAATTTTATCTAACTTTTGATAATGTCCAAACATTTTTTTCACCTGCTCCTGTTTCTTTCCAAAATGTTTTTATTTTTTTCTAGCTTATTCACATATATATGGGTGACCATCGTTTGAAAAATAAAGGATCTAACTCAATGCTGATCTGTTAGATCAATCACACGTTAACATTTTCTTATGGCATGATTCTAGCGCATATCGTAACATAGTATATATATATTTGTCTGAGTAGTAAATAAAAGTTTTATAGAGAATATTACGATCGAAGTATTTTTTATCAAATCTGCAATAGATGTATCTCAATTTGATATCAAAATTAGTTCCTGTATGCCTTACAACTCAAGAGAACGAAACATTAAGAAGTGGCAGCTATAGGTACAATTGGGAAAGAAAAGATTAATATAATAATTAGACTTAATATTAGTTGAAATTCTTTTGTTAACAAATCGATTCAATAAGAGAGTTCGACCGATGAAAAATTTCTCCAATTTTTTTATAGAATTCAAATAAAATTTAATAAAATACGAAAATCGTTTATTTAATTATTAATATTCTATAAACACTAATATTAACAATCAAATAAAAATTCTTTGAAAAATGTTCATCTACTACATTATAATAAGTCATTTAGAAACAACATATATGTGATCATTTTTGCTTAATAACTATATCCAGACAGTGTATGATTTACATTTGTCATAAATTCGTAAACGAAATAAGACGAGAAAAAAGAGAAACATTAGCAAGGTAAATTTGTAGTTTTTATATGAATTCATCAGAAACATCTTGTTAGACAACAAATTAATTCGATTATTTTAAAAAATTTCGTAAAACGATGGTTACTTCAACTTTTATGAACTCGTTATTAATATCTTGTAAAACAAAAGTTAGTTAATTATAACTAACTATTATTTTACAAGATATTTTTGACTAGTTCATAAACAATGTGTGATCAATATAAATCATACATTATTCGAGAGGTGAGAAAATTTCCTATCAACTGATGAAAAATATATTCTTTTCAGAATCTATTTATTTAAGAGATGTAAGGATCAATATTTCGTACTTGTCTTTTATAGCAAAAAGTGCGGATGCTTTTAAAGAGTGTTTCTTTTTTCTGTTGCGTTGTTTCGTTTATGACCATGTTATAAAAATAAGTCATATACGATTCGAAAGAGAAGAAAAACTTTTATCTTTTGGTGAAATAAGTTTTCTTTCAACATCTTTTCAACGAAGAAAAATGGGAGTTGACATTAGTGTCATTACTTTTGCATCATACGTTATTTTGGACTTTTATTTTATTCAGTAAATATTTATATATGTTAAATACAAAAACTATGTGTATATCGAAAGAAAAGATCTAATAAGTCTTTTTTATGGTAACTG